CTGAAACTCCTGCTGCTTATATATCTTTTGAGCGGTCTAATTGATCTATTTTTAGCAGCTACTTCTAATATTCTATTAAAAATTTAACTGTATACGTTTGAATAAACCGATAGTGAAATTTCACTACCCGTACCACACAACGCTGGTTGTACTTCCGACAGTGCCCGTACTACCCGGAGAAGCGCAGAAATAAGGAGAGAATACGTCACAGATTGCGGCGCATCACAACACCTAGCCGAAGAGTTAAATCTCAAGGTCGATATACGAACGCTCGATCCGACAGTGTACACCATCTGAGCAATATACAGCCGCATTCGAAATATGAGTAATGAGTAACCCACTCTTGACCCCCCAAATCAAGATCTGATCCTGTACTTTTCGTCCGAAGTCATCAAAGAATGAAAATCGCCATGGACAGGTCACTCTGCGCAATGAAGTAAAAGTGGCTGCAGCAAATCTCACGGCCTATTAGGAGATGACAGAGCACCATAGTATAAACCCTAAAGAAAATTCGGGCAAGAGATATTCCGTTACGACCGTTTTCATTCTTCTAGCGAATTTATCTATACAAGAAGCTGAAGTGCGATTTCAATATCATGACAGTAACATCAGGGACTTCAGTACTAATTGCAATTCCGGTGCTTTGTAAGTAAACGCTTTTTATTTGATTTATTTGCGTTAATTAGGCTGATTATTATTTGTGAACTTTATGTTTTCTGTAAGCGAGAAGTGAATTTAACGTAAGGAAATGTTTCCTTCTTCAAAGATATGCAACAAGCTATAGTCACCTTTGCGGGCGTTTGCGTGTGATCCAGCCTTACAGTTGGAAAAGAAACCCCCGTTTGGATTGATTCTCTAAAACATTTGGCCTTTCTGGCAGCCACATCAAATAGTCGCCCTGTTCGCTTGATGATATTCTGCAAATTCAAGTATCATCAAATGTCGGAACAGGCCAGAGTAAAGAAAAAAAGAGGAAGCATGTAATACCTTGTGTGTAATAAAAGATTTGCACACTTGAATAACTTCTCCTACATCAGTGTCAGATCCTCAGAGGCCCACTCCCAAAATGCGAAAATGTCCCCGTTGACTTTAAGTAGCATATAAAATCGGATATGCATCCCAATTATTTGGAAAAATGAGATTGGAATCACATCAAGAGCCTTACTAAGGATTGGGGGTAGGGGGTTGAAGCCACTTTGTTGAACAAGTTCAGTCTGGAGCTGGATGTGCTGTGCACGAGCCACTTTTATGATATCCACGAAATTACTTTTTGCCTTGTCATGATGATCGCGGAACTTTGGTCCTGTGTTCTCCCCTACGCCACCTTCTCAGTTGCGGTTCTACCGAGAAAGCTGTTAGTAAATCCACATGCATTCAAAAGCTGAAATCAACCTACCATAAATATGAAATCGCACGGTTTCCCAGAGCGTGCACCATTCGGACGGGACATTTTTTCTTCACGGTCTGCATTGGAGTGATTTTCTCCACTATAAAAGCATATTGAGTGATGGCGCAAGCTATAGATAACATAACAGTGAATTACTTACTAGATAAACATGCTTCCTGGTGTTCTCGCACATGGTCCAATAAGATGCATATCTATTGTGCGTTCGGACAGAGATGATCCACCATAGACCCTAACCCATATATCACTTGAGGACAGTTACATGTCCAATTGATTATATTATATGCCAGATGTCAGTACAAGGGAACCAAAATAATAAAAGAGAGAATGAAACCTACACATCCATAAGACATCTTGCAATATAGCCTGTTTCATCATCATCCATTTTGACTTTTTTCAATAAATCCTCCATGGCATTATCACCATCAACACTGCTGTCCTCTTTGTCATTTAACTGATCCCCTTTTGCAAGCAACAAGCACAAACCACCCAGACCGCGTGCAATAACTTCTTTTCCTAACATTCTAAGGCTGCCGACTTCTGAGATTGCTAGTGCATCCAGGAGTGCCGCAGCAGAAGGGCTTATTCGAGCCCTTTCTTCTTTAAAGATACTGTGGGCCATTTCGCGGACTTCTTGCACGATATCAGCGGACAGGAATGTTTCTGCTCGAGGCAGATCAGGACAAGGTGCCACATTCTCCTTGCGCAAGTCCAGGACACCCCACCAAAAAGGACTAAAGTAGGTAAGGTATTAATATGATAACTTCATGAATGAAATTATCCCAAAAACTGACTACGTACTCTGTGTGTGCCGCACTATTGTCATCTCGCAGCATTTTCCATCGCTGCACGACACCTGCATAATGTTGTAATGCAGGGTCCAAAGTCTGCCTAAAAATATTACCCATTCGCATATGCAACATTGCAATCAGCTTCTTTAATGTGATCTTAGCATAATAGAAAGTAACTCACGTTGTAGTGGCATTGCTGTCATGAACCTCATCCTTGTCAGAGGACAAAAACGGGTTATTAGTAGTATCTTCTATCGGTTCACTGGTCGAGTCCTGGGTATCCAGAAGGAAAGTGAACTTGTTATGCAAAAAATCACATATTTGAATACATGTAATAGCACACGTCAACCTTTGCTAAGCGTTTCGAAGGATTTTGTTCAACGCTGTCTGAACAACGCTTTGCAATTCTGCCTGTGGTAGATTTCACATACATCGTCATCTGTCCGGTCACCTCGGTGGCTATGGTCAGGTCATAATTGGTCTATTTGCAATAAAAAAACCCCAGTAATTCCATTGTTTGACGAAATCTGCAATCGAAACGAAAAGAAAAGCTGTGAAACTAACCTCTACGCTTTTGATTTGGTTTTCGCAGAGTTTTTCCTTGATTGAGCTCCAAAAAACGTCCACACACGTAGAATCTTTCTCATCCTTTTTGATCAGAAAAGTAAACATTAGTGTAAAATTTTCGAAACCATATCGGATGTCCTCCAAAATAAAAAAATTAAGAGGGGCAGACCATAACATGAGACGAAGTCTGACAACCTGACAGGACGAAGCCATCAAGTTGCGTTATGGCAATAACATAAGTCTATTCAAGAACGCCCGAGGGGAGACGAAGTCCACTATCACCCGCCAAGACGAAGTCAGCAGGCTACTCGGGGATTGTCAATACGTCACGTATTTGTCCCGGGACCGGAACGTATTCTAGTTCTTGAACCTGCCCACTCGTACTTAATCAATAATACTTGACCTCGTAATTAAGAAGACATTTTCGAGCCTGATCGTCGTCTTTAGATAACAAATCCAGAGCACTTTTGTACAGTCGATGCTCCTTTGCTTTGTCGTATGTAAAACTGTCGACTCCTTTTCTGTACTGAAGAAACGGCAATAGAGACCAAGAGGAATCGTTCTTGAAGAAGTCGCGTATTACTTCTTGCAAAGCACGTCGTGTGAAATTTATTTGTGCAACCACGAATTTGATGCCAATTTATCGATGATTGACCTTGTTTCATACCATTGCGCGGTTTAGCCTAAGACGTACTGCCAAGGAGGGTGGATAAGTTACAGTCTACTACAACATACTATGATAGTATCGATATTATATGGTATATATGTGGATACGGATATATCATAGATAAAAAATGAACATTTCTAGAAACTCCTGGAAACTATAAAGTGGTAAAAAAAATATTCCACCGAATACGAAAAAGCAATACGTTTCTTAGAGGTAGGTTGCAATTGTGGTTGCTCAAAAAAGATTCCGAGAGAAAATTTTGCCGAATTACATGAAGCGTTTCAAGCTTTCTCTAGATCTGAACAAGATATATTTTTAATGGCTCAGTTGAAAGCAATGAATGGTGGAGAAATAACGGCCAGCCGACGTCTTAAAAAGAAAACGCGTACTAATAAAAGAACTTTTTATTATTGAGATCGCAATACGCCACTTTGTCAGAAAACGTATCTCAGTATGCTAGGAATTGGTTGCACTTCGAAAATATCAGAAATCACCTAGCGATAAATGGTGTAATACCGCGTGTTCATGGTAATGTCAAACGAGTACCGCGATGGAAAACCAAAATAACAATTGATATAACCGTTGCTACCGATTTTCTCGAAAATTATGCTGAATTCATGGACTACCAAGTCCTGGCAGAAATGTCAATCACATTACTCAATCGCTTACACTATTTCCAGGTTATAAATCGGTCTATTGTGATTTTATTGCAGGTCTGTCTGAAAACGATAGCACGTTAAAATTGTTAAAATATGATGCGTTTCGCAAGTTATGGCACCAGTTAACGCCTTATATTCAATCAAGGGTCTAAGAACGAATTTATGTGATTTAGCAACAGGCTGAGAACAAAGCCAATAAATACTGCAAAAAAGAATTTGCTCGGAAAATTAAGCCTTTTTTTGCGAAAGGTTTTGTTGATGGTTGGATTTTGCTCAAGGTTTGCTTTTTACAATGTTTATTACGTTTGGTGTGATTATTCAAAATGTAAGTAAATTAGTGTTGTTTTTATAGTACTATACGATTCGTTTATTTGGCGCGCGAATTTCTGCGCATTGATTCAACTTTGTGCTTTCTTTTCTGCATATGTTTCCTAAAAATCACATTGATGCTATCATTAGAGCCGCCCGTCGCAACAGGTAATAGTAAGTGAATAATAGTAATTATTCAGCAATATCTAGCTTAACTTTGATAGCCTTGTGTCATAATTGTTAATAACAATAAGGTCATATTTCAGACCATTAAATCGAAACACTAGTTGAAGATATTGTTACGGTTGGTATTTATCTTTCGCGTAGGAGGTGTTCACCAACTGGGCCGATGTTACCAATCTTAGCTCGTACTACAGGCCCTTATTCCCAGTAGTTGTGTTTTACAACCGAACTGAAATTAGTGACTATTTTTAAATGCGCGCTCATCCTACTCCCTATGCGATGTATTTTCTACTCGTATCCAAATAAGGGTACCAACAATTATTATATATGAGACATAATCCTATATTAAGCATATTGTAATTCAAGTAACGATAGGTTGAATGTTAGTTACATGCAGGATGATATAAACTTAAAAAATGTAATTTGTCAGTTGTGAATAACCAAAACGTCATTAGTCAAATTAGTTAACATTCAGCCATACCACTCTTATTTATGTTACATAACAAAATGTTCACTTTGTCATGTAATCCATGCATTACATGTTAAGCAATATTTTTGTGATATCTCTTTTGATGATATTTTTATTTCAACGGATAATACAGTACTGTATTCAAATTACAAAAATGACTGTTTCATATATCATTGCTTGTATATAATTTAGCATCTGTTTCGTAAGGAGCCAGTATCATTGCCCCACAGATGAATGTCATACAATCTACCACGTCTGCTTAACGTATGCTTTTAAATCATTGACTGCATGACGTTTTTCCCAATATCGGCTTCAGCCAAGGTCATGGGGTTTAATATTAATGCAATTTACGGTTAACGCCACTGATACCGAAATCTTTTATGTCTGTTGATGTGGGGAGAAAGATATGGTGGTGGTTACCGATTAAAGCATGACCCATGGTTTCGTATTATGAAAGCAAACGTATGCTATGATTCAGAGGCTAACAAAAGGCTAAAGACGAAGAAAGTAAAGGATACAGTTTCAGGTCGAATCTCACCGATACATCCATGTAAAAATTTTATCCAGGATCTTCGGGAGTTTCACGTCAAAATAATTAAAAATGTCATTAACAAATAAATTTAAATCGCTCTTATTCGTCTACTCTAGCATTATAAACCAGCCAATTCATTCATTGCATTTCCCCCCCTCAAAACTGAGCAAACATCCCCTGATCATTGACAGTTATATAAAAATGCTAAATTCCTTCCAACGCACACGTATATGCGGCAGGAAAGCCTGGAAGGCTAATCTCAATAATTTATGTAGCACGGTGTGAATATAAAATGAGAACTTGGTATAACGCTACCATATAGACGTACGTATGCGCGTCCAAATCACACTCATTCCGAATCTATACAGTTATATACTATCCTTTTAAATACGGTTCGTTCTCGCAATGGATCTATCATGGTGCCCAGCCTGTGACAGACAGTTTTTTGTTACGAATTTATTATACTGTAGCGAAGAATGTCGACTTAAAGACGCTTTATCTACATCACTTTGCCCAACGCTACCTCACTATGGTTTCTCACGATGTTCCTCTCCGAAATTTGCTCACTCTCCACTTTCGTCTCCCTCTTGGTCTCCATTACAAAACCCGCCTGCATCACTACCATGTGATCCATTAAAGATCGATAATCATTTTCAAAGAGATGAGCTGTCAACTTCGCCCGAGGGTTTACTACTGAGTCGTCGTAACGCAATTGAATGCAGTGCACACCGAGAAGCAACAGACGTATCTTTTACTTTAATCAATGCGAGTGCTGCTGCTACCGCTACCGAGACGACGTTTACTACAATAACTGTCGAGACAAGAGAAATACGACCTGTCGGATTAGCCAGTCTGCCGATTAGAAAGAAACGATCGTTCATTGGAAGTGCCTGGAGCATGTTCTTTTCCTAGAATAGCAAGAATAGAAAATAGACTTACTGCATATACTGCGAACTAGAATTCATAGAATAGAGTTTGTGTTATACATGTATTGACTTGGCAAGTTGCATAATGTTATATTAAGCATGATTTGTAATTTTTTTCTTTTCCATAACTGTATATACTAGATTGAGGTGTGATTGATTTAAAGGTGATTGATTTCTAGTAACTGGAAGATTATTGATAGGACGTACAGTACATTGAATCTCACAAAAAAAACAAGGATTTGCGTGTACTGCTAGCTAGGTTCCTAAGCATAACAATTCTGGCGCATATATTTCATATCATCCTCGAATGCAGTATATTCTACAGATTTGCTTTATGCGAGACCAGTGTCTTTCCCCTGCACTCATTTGTCCCAAACTGTTAAAGGCATAAAATGGCAAGAACCATTATGGAAATGCAACTTCTGTGCTTACAACTGTAAAATGCCGCTATCTCCTGCGTGCATTTAATAATACCATGCAAATGGGTTCCATATTATGATTAGTGGAATTAATGATTAGACGATTGTAATTAATATTAGGATTTCCGTATACAACGTGCTGGATCGAATCAAAATATGTAAAACTGCTCACGTTTATTACAACATAAGGTATAAATACAAGGCAAAATAACATGTATAATTCATTATGTATTAAAAACGTCTGTTTGAAATTTGTTTGCCGTGCTAACATGCTTGCTCCGTAAAATTTAATGCAAATATAAACATGATTGATGTCCAGCAAGCAATAAATAGATAAATGTGCAAATAATATATATCAATATGTCTTCTGATGCAGTAAAGCTAAACACGTCTATGCTGCGCACGGCGGCAGCCTAACAAGGGATCTGAAAAATTTTCGGAGCGAAGTAAGTCAAAGATTGACTTCTTCTTCGTTGCAGCACGAGGAGGATTAAGAGGTTTCGTAGGATGCGGGGTGGATGCCCTTAGAAAAGTATCAATAAAACGATATTAGTATCTTATTTTCTTCACATATTAAATAAACACCAACGTACTGGCTGTCCGTATTGTTTGTATTTGGTGTCTGTTGGACGGAGAGCCTTGATGGTTGTTCTGGTCGCGATTCTGATTGAAAGTATATTTGTCTTGGTCAACGATATGATTCTATTATTTGACAGATATAACTAGTCTTTATTTATTACACTAATTACCTTGTGAATCTTGAGCCACGCGTCTTTGCCTTGGTTTGCTAAGCTGTCGAGGTGGCGAACGACGTATTTCAAGCATAGCACGGGTCACTCTTACAGCCAACGGTGGAGCTTGGTAAGCATGTCGTGCGTAAACCCTTGCACGCTCC